GTTTTATCACACTACCTATGTCTTAATCTTATAAAATGGATGCACGCTGAAGAGCAGGGGATAAATGGTGATTTCTTGACTGATGCCAGTATTTTCTTCCTTCTGGCACCTAAACAAGTGACCTGTCTGACAAACACAGATTGATTCCCCATTGCAAGTCTTTCTCACCAAATACAAAGGACTGGAAAGGCTACGGGGTTTTATTAGAGGACTAAAAGCAAAGAGAAGAATTTTTTTTAAATTTCATTGTTTTAAATAAGCCTAAATGAATTAGTTAGATGAAAGATTTTGCTAAATACATGGTTTTTAGATTAATGGGTGCTCTAGGTCTTAGTCCCTTAAAGTCTCAGATCTGAGGATGTTAGAGCTATCAAAATGCAAAGAGTTTCAAATCGCTTAGCAGCCTCTCCCTGGCAAGGCAGTGGGCTGTCTGTAACAAAAACCTTAAATCACACTGTAAAACCCAGAGTCCAGTCATCTCTCCTCTGTGTTTTCCACATGCTTTCTTTGACATTCTTTTTCTTCCTTCTCTCTATCTTCAGAACTACTGGGTCCTAAAAATATAAACCAATACCCTTGCCTCCATAGACTGCTTCTTTCAAAGAGTTTTTGCTTGCTACCTTTCCCAAAGACTTTAGGAGGATCTCTTCTAACAGATATAGCCCTAGATCACAGAAAAAATATCTGTGAAGCTCAGCTACATGCTATCTGGGGCCAGGATGGTGTGCCTTGTCCAGAAGAAAGGCATGGCCTGCCACTACCCCATTCCTACCTCACGTATCAAAAGAAAATAAAAATCCAGTGGAATAATCTCACAGTGACACAGGATTAAGATCACCGTGTTTTAGGCTCAAGTGCTGTCATAAATTAATCCTATTTCCCCAGCCATCTATTGCAATGTATTTATGAAAAGATTTTATCAGTTAATTAGCTGGTCCTTAGGAAATTACTCGTACTTCCTCCTGTTGTTCCATTCTTTTTGAAACACGGATCTTAAAAAGAACCCTTCAAGAGGAAAATGGGGTCATTTGGATTTTAAAATAGTTCTCTTAACTGTATTTGGTATGGAGGTTGGAATTTTAAAGTAAGATTTTATCATGCCCTCTTCCTTAGTATAAACCATTTCAGCTATTCAATATGCTGATAAGTAATTATTCACAATACCACCATTGAAATGAGTATGATCTTTATAAATCAGAACTGAAATCTGCATTTCAAAAAGCGCTCTTTATATATGCTAACATCTAGTAAGACATCCTTAAGTACTCTGGAAGTCAATTGAAAATGAAGGTAAAGTCTACCCTACCCCCTCAACAAAAGCACTCTGTGTTCCAATCTTCATGACTTTCAGATCTGTTAATTCTGTGAAAACATGTAGTGAAGAAGTACAGTATATACATCTGTGTATTGACCCAGATTCCCAAGTTTGGTAACTCTGTGATAATATACTTAGCTACAGTCATTTATATACATACATACTTACTTATAAATATATAGGATATATATATATATATATAATCCTACATGCAGTTTCATCTGTATACATACCAAAATGCCATCAAGGAAACCTCTGTTTTAATAATTTTTCTTTTACAATTTCTTGCTCTCTTCCAAATCCTAAAGGGAAAAACTCAAAGCACTGAGATAAATGGGATCTCAAAAGAAAACAGGAGTTACCCTAGATGGCTCACCCCGCTAGGGCTTTCTCGAGAGCCCTGAAATAAACAGGGCATGTCAGTGGCCCCTAACTACACAGCTTTGTGAGGGCTTCTTTAAAGATATCATTGTAGATTATTTTCCCCCTCATTTCACTTAATGTTTCCCATTTCACCTGCACTGGTCAGTCTTTCCAGCTACCTAGACCCTACATTATCTCTTCCCTAAAGCACAGGCGGGTGTGTGTCAGTCAAGACACTCTACAAGGGATTTCCAGCTCAATCTGGGATCTTCAGGACTTACTTCTCAGGACCAAGGGGCAATGCGGGGCACCGGGCTATGGTCTACAGGCTGCACTTTGTTTCCTTAAATTTGACTTTTAAGGTTTTGCAGGTAAGGAATATCTCACTAACATCTGTATTTACGAGGCAGGTGTAAAACCTGTATAGCTAGAGATTAGCTGGGCATTTCTGTATGATTCAAAATGGTCTATTTATTCCAACCACACTTATGGATGGATGCTTATGGATAGAGAACCTGAATCTGGAAAACTTTAAAAAATGTCATCTCTTTAGAAGTTCAATGTATAGCATTTTTTTTTAAAGCCATAATCTTCAAACCTGGTATTTTAGAATAAAGCCAATTACCTAGACTACTCAGTATTTCTTTTTTTCCACATTCCACACACTGTCTCTTGTGCATCCACAATGGAAAATTAGTCAAATCATTGTTCACAAGATGTACCATTACCAGTGCCCACAGGTAGCAAGAACATGTTCCAAATGTTTTGTGATACTGAAGGAAAAAAAGGTTTGCTTTCCCTGGCAAATGTAAATTTGATGTATAATCCATTGATTGGGTGAGTCAAACCAACTCATAATGCTCCACTGAACTTGAATCTGTTCCTTTCCCTCCCCTGGACTAATCAGGGGCTCTTCCAGAAGATGGCTGGAAGGGAAGCTGATCCTCTACCCAAGGCTGGGAAAAGTGCCAAAAGAAGTAAGGATGTGCTGCCCTGTCCAGGTACCCAGGTGGGACACTCCACCAGCTCCTCTCTGGCTCCCCTGTGGGTCTTAACTGCAGTCAAACACCCCAGCCTGAATGAAATGGCTCTGGGCGGCACCTTTCCCCTCAGCTGGTGCTCTTGGCTACTACCCTCTCACGAAAGTCAACCTACCTTTATGAAGCTATCGTTCCCCAAGCTCCATCTCAAGAACTAAGAGCCATAGGGGCTGGGCATTTAGCTCCGTGGTTCCACCACCTGCCTCGAAAGTGCAAGGTCCCGAGTTCAATCCCCAGTACCAAAAAAATAAAACAAAACAAAAAAAGAATTAAGAGCCAGAGAGGGAAAGGAATACTAATTTCTAGGCCATATGTTTTATCCTTAAAATACAGAAAAGCTTAAGCAGTTAAAGCAAAAAGCAAACAAAGTAAAAAATACATCATACTTGGTAGGCAGGTACATCTCCCAAAGCACCTCCATTTAAGGTATGGCATTTTAATTAAAGAACTTAGCACATCCTATTTGCTGAGCAGGAATAATTTCTAAGGAGCCAAAACACATTTATTGATTTCTTTGCTTAGTCTATTCCCCCAGATAGATATCTCTTAAATACAAATCCTGTTTGCTGACATCTTTCTTTAAAGAACAGACCCTTGCTTCAGCACATGTGATCAATCTGAATGCAGCCATGTCACTTCCCTTTTAACTCTTTTGAGTTACAGAAAAACAAACAAACTTGTCATAAAAACATTTCAAAGAGCTTCTGCCAAGAAAGCCACCTCCCAAACAGACTGCAGTTTATGCTGCTAGGAGCAAGAACTAGAAAGGATGAGCCAAACTGTCAACACAGAACAAAGTTAGATTACAAATTCTGTCTCTCATCTTACACATGCGCATGCGCACGCGCGCGCACACGCACACACACACACATATTTAGGTTATCTTTATGTAGCTTTTCTGTGGCAAGCTTCCCAAGCACGTGAAAGCAATCAAAGGGCAACAATTAACAAGCATTCACTTTCTACAGAAAACACCACAGCAAGCTATGACAAAGCTAAGGTAACCATGCATCTGTGGGCTAGTCAATTCTTTTAAAGTTTCATGGCACTCTGCCTTGGACATGAGGTCTATCATTAAAAGAATATTTAGCTGGTTCCTCTGTTCTTTCACTTAATAGATTTACAGTACCCAGCTAGTACTTAGACCCAGATACCCTCTCTCCCCTAGCGGCATTTTTACCCACACATGTGCTCGCATGGGTGCACCCCACCAGGGATAAAACAAAGCTGAGAAGAATTTGTTGGTGCAAAATGAGAAATCGAATCCTCGCCTGCCTCAGGTGCTTGCTATTATAAACTATGACTAAGAGACATGAATTTCTCTATGATGCAACCCTCAGGAGAGGCAGCATTTTCTCCAGGCCTCTCTTAAACCTGCTCATTCGCCAGTGACTAATGCTCTCTAGAGCAGCCCTGTGCTGCTCAAATTTCATCAGCCAGCTTTGTCCTTGATAGCTCTGCTCTGCCTGGACCATAAAAGCTCCCAAACCTGTTGAGGACAGCCTCAAAAGATCCGGTAGAGCTAACCATGCCCCGCACACCAGTGCCAACAGCCATCTTTGCAGCTGCTTCCTGCATTTTATTATCTCAAGTAATGAGCACCTAATGACTGTTTTAAGAAAAAGGTTTTACTCTTCTCTGAACAGTAAAGTCCCAGCTATAACATGAAAAATAACAAAAAATCAGGTTACTATGTAACCGCCCTTTGTTAGCGCAGAAGGAACAAAATTGACAACGTTAGGTGAAACCACAATTAACTGGAATTTTCCATTAACTATTTTCTGCACCTTTTAAGAGAAAGAAAAAGGTCAGACTCATCATTCACATCAAAGACTGCACTTACAAACAAATGAGGCTATGAAAAAAGACCATTAATAGACCTTTGGCCCACTATATGTCAGTTAATTTATACTTTGGAGCTTTAAGTTTTGCAACATTCTTAAGGTAAAAAGAAATTTAAGGGCCAGGGATTTAGCTCAGTGGTTCTGCCGCTTGCCCCTCAAGCACGAGGACCTGAGTTCGATCCCCGGTACCAAAAAAAAAAGAAATTTAAGACAGAACTATGCTCAGGAAGTCTTGTCTGAAATAGACTAGAATCATGTTAGAAATAATTTCAATAATGAATGAAACAAAAATGTTCAGGGTTAACCCTGATATTAAAAGAAACTACATACACACCACTGTACAAATCTGCTGGCTATGACTGAAGGGTATTCTAGACATGGGTGATAAAAAACCAAACAAGTTCAGAACAAATATGTCACCACGAGAAAGGTACTTACAGTTATCAGACTGAAAATCTGGGACAAACTGTTCATCATCAGGAACTTGTGCTGGAAAAGAGATTTTTATTTTAGACCTCTAAGTTTTATTAAAAGGAACAGTAAAATGTTTTATATGGAAAATAGGACAGCCAAGAAACTTGCCTTCAGCTAACCAAGCCTCTTGTAGCTGACTGAGATCCTGAAACAACTCTGGAATTAAAAACAGAAGACCCCAAAATGAGGACATTTCTTCTATTAGGAAGAAGGGGGGAAGGGTCTACATACTACAGTCACTGAGTGATTTGAGGAAGACACAAGATAGCGGAGAAAAGCTTCACTACCTTCAGAATCATGAGCCAGATCGGTGTCCAAAAACTTCCTCTTTCTGTCAATCACAGGCCGCCCTCGACCTTCCTCTGATCGAGATTTCTGAAAGAGGCCAGCACAGAGGATTCAAGTGTGGTGAAAAGGCCCAATGAGAAGGCTCTTACGGAAGAGGGAGGACAAAATAAACTGAAAGCTGAATGAACTTACCCCTGGGACCAGAAAAGGGACTTGCTGATCATAAAACCCATCCATGGTGCTTCCAGCGTCTCTAATATGACTTTGAAAGGTTTCAGCATTGAGCAATTTCTGGGGGAAAAGGATCCTCCTGTAATATGAATATTACAATATTTGGGATATTTTAACTTAGGAGGAAAAGAGAAATGAATCTGTTTTCTACTGCTCTTTCTTTAGGGCCTCTGCAAAATCACTACCCTTCTCTCAAGTACTGTACTTACAGCCACTCTAGGTGTAAGCTTTCAGACCAATGTTGGGCTTGATTAATGGCATCAGATATATTCAGTGCCAAATCCAGTTACCCAGTCATCATCTTCTGCCCTTTCTTCTCTATAATCATTAAGATTATAGATTTTTGGCACTGACTGTCCCTTACCAACAACAGAAAACCAAAAATCACCTTATTTTCATCATGAAAGGTAATTTTCAGAGTCTCTATAGAAGATCCTCCAGGGCATTTGCAGTGCAATTTTTAAAAAAGATGATTTAATTTTTGACAGTAAGTTGACATGCTGGGTTTAAGTATTCCAAGTTATTGGCAATTAAGAATCTGACATACAAAATCTAAAAGTATTTTGTAGGTCAGTAGTAAAAACGCTATGTAAAATTCCAGGAATATATTATCAGAAGTACATTTTCTTCACATACAACTCTTTATTTAAAGCTAACCTTCTGTCCAAACAGGTGTATGCCTATATGTCACAAATATCTCCATGGCAACTTAAGTTATCTGATATCTCAACCTCTAACAGAATAAAAGATCTATGAAGGGCTGGGGATTTAGCTCAGTGGTTCCGCCGCCTGCCTCACCAGCGCAAGGACCAGAGTTTGATCCACGGTACCAAAAGAAAAAAAAAACAATCTATGAAAAATGATGGATAAAGAAAACTAAATACACTGTGTATTTTAAATGCAGTTCTACAAAGGTCTTTTTAAAAGGGGGGGAAAAAAAGAGCTGGGTGCGGTGTCGCACATCCCTGATCCCAGGACTTGGGAGGCTGAGGCAGGAAGATCGACTGGAGTTCAAGGCCAGCCTGGGGTACATAGAGTTCAGAGCCAGCCTGAACTACAAAGGGAGACCCTGCCTCAACAAAACAAAACAAAACAAGAGGGCAGAAAAAAATAAATGATCCATTGGGAAAAAATTGTTTCTTACAGTAAAACCAAATTTCCCAGATACAATCCCTGCCCCCCAATCACCCAACAACTCCTATCAGTACCGGTAAGTGTTATAGCTGGAGAGAGCCTGAGGCCAAGAGAGAGGACAGAGTTTTTTTAATTTGGAGGAATAAAGTAACAATTTTAGGAAGGTGCCATATTCCTAAACATTTTTTTTATCCTCCATATAAAAAACAGAGTTAGGTCAACCAAAAGGAGGAAAACATTCATTTCACTTACCCTAGCTCTAAGCAATGCAAAAATACTTAAAGGGTAATTTCTTTTGTTTAACTTGCCCATAATTTTTAAATAGGAAACTTTTTCCCAGTGGGCAATTCTATCCAACTTGTTTTTCACACTGTGTGGAGTATATCAGATTTTCTTAACTTAGCAGGATACCACAAAGCCCTTCATGATCAGCCTCCTCCTCAGTACTTGGCCCAAGTAATCAGATATTTTCTAAATCAAAGGAGAGGAGCGAAACAGCACAGTTCATAACTTCCTAGAAAAACACTCCCGCCAGCTTGCCTGCCTTCCAAATAGCACAAAAAAGGGTTTGAAATAGAGTCTCTTTCTCATGGTCTCCAACTCGATTACAACATCTGAGAAACCTTAGCAGGGAGTTGAGGGGCAAGAAAGAGTTCTCGGTCGCCTTCGAAAACCTGCCTGATTAAATCGCAGCCTTAAAAATTCTGTAAATGTCAGAGGATGGACAAGGCGTAAGAGACCAGAGGGAAAGCTATTTTCAGCCTCATGATGAAATACTTCACCCTGAAGAGCAAAAATATCTTTTAAATTTTTTAAAGAAAGAAACTGCCGTAAGCAAATCCAAAAGCAGCATCGGAGATCTTTAAAAGAAGCTCTTAGAGTTCAAGGGCTAAAAACATTGCGTTCAAAAGCCTGGAGGGAAGGCTCGAGTGCATCTAGGAGTTTAAACCACTTCCTTTGTGCCCCCCCCCCCGGTGCCCCCAGGAAAAGTTTAACACAGCGCTGCGGTGCGACCGAAGCCCCTCCCCCGTGGCGCGCAGCGGGCCCGGTTTTATGAATGGGAGAGCGAGCCGCGGCCGCCACATCAGGTAGAGGCTGTAACTGGATCCCTCGCGCTGGGCCCCATTCACAAAACAAGACACACTTCCACCCAATTCCCAGCCTTCCCCATTCATGAAAACTCCTCCGGCTGCGCCCCCGCCCCCGCTCCCAACGCACGCCCAGCCTCCAACGCAGGCCCCTCACCCCAGCGTTTTAGGAAGAAAGCTCAATGCTTCATTCACAAAAAAGGGAAAGAAAAAAAAAGCCGCAGGGAGCAGAGAGCCAACGAAAGAAACCCGCTTCATTCATAAAGTCAGCCACATTCATAAAAACGAGGTGCGGCGCCGGGCGCTACCAATCGCATCCAGTTCACAGCCCTCATCCGCAGCATCTCGCCTAGGTGCCCCCCAGCAGGACAGGAGTTGCCCTCCCCTCCGAAAACGCAGCCAGCTGCCCGATCCAGCGAGAGGCTCCGTCATCTCTCCGTCCCCGCTCCGCGACCGTGTTCTCCCCATCACCCCCAGGGCCCGTGCTGGGGCTCCCCGGTTTTCGTCCTGCCGGGGATGGGAGTGGCGGGACAGCTGTCCACTTTGCACCACCCGAAACTTGCGAGGTCCGCCCAAGTTGCGGGCTGAGCCCCACGCCGCAGGGCGCACGCCTGTGTCATCCCACCCTCGGGGTGTTTGGGGGCAGCGCCTCCCAAGAGCCCCCGCCAACTGCTTCCCGCCCCCTCCTCCCGACTGCAAAGCTGCGCCCAGCGTCTCTTCTCGCGAGCCTCCAAGTCCCCTCGGGGCTCTCAGATCTCCGGAGACCAAAGCCCCGCGACTCCGCGCCTCCCCGCCCCACCCCGAAGCCCCGCACCCCGCACCCCGCACCCCGCGCGCCTCCCCCGCGAGGTGCGGAAACCCGCGCTCCTCGCGCTCCGGAACCGTTAGCCGCCCCCGCCCGACGCCTACCACGAACCGAACCGAACCGGACCGAGCCGGGCCGAGCCGGGCCGTGGGGGCAGGGGGCAGTCGGTCCCCGGGGGTTCGCCCCAGATGTCCACTCCGACTTCGTGGGTGCCGGGTCACCCTGGGAACTCCTGCCAGCTGGGCCTTCGAGACTCGTTGCAGGACCCCCGACGACACCCCTCGGTCCCCCGCCGCGCCCCCTCACCTGCAGTGGCCGCCCTCCCCCCGGCAGCGGCCCCGGCGGCGCAGGCGCGCTCACGCACGCGCGCACCGGGCCTGGGCGCCTAGGCGAACGGCTGGGCCGAACCGCTCTGGAGACAGCGAACTGCTCCGCGCACCAGCGGCTGGACTCTGCGCCGCAGCTGCCAACCAGGCTGGAGCGCTGGCCCGGCCCCCGCGGTCCGCTGCTCCGCCCGCCGCCATTGGCCCGCGGCCCCAACCTAGCCTGATTCCCATTGGTCAGAGGCCGTTCCCGCGGCCGTCCATCACCTCTTGTTTACCCTGTCTTCGAGCAAATCCAACCGAGCCGTCCCACTAACTCCTGCTTCCATTGGCCGACTGTGGGTCTCCCTCCGCCCCCTCGGGGGGTCTGTTTTTACATAATTTATGCACCGGGGGCCATTGGCCAATCAGCATAGTCTTGTTTATATAATGAATGTAAGGACGTTTTTCATTCATAAAAAACGCGACCTGAGGGGGAAGCTTAGCTGAGTCAGTGAAGCACTTAAAGGGGCCGAGGCCAGGGGGAGCCGCCGTTACTTCCCTTTTCGGAGCTCTCCCGACTTTTCGCCAAGGCATGGCTCTTCACCTTTTTCCATTACCCCCCACTTCTCCCTCTGCAAAGCCAAGACCACGATTGGGTCGCTTGGCGCCAGACATTCGCAGCTGCAGCACCAAGCAAAGTTATCGTTTTAGAATTCAGGCGAGAGGAATTCGTCCTTCCGCACAGAGAGAAACTCGCCGACCGGCCTGGGCGTTCAGTCCACGGAAAACGGAAACTGAGCCCTCTAATCTTAGTTACCTTTAAGAGAGGCCTTAATTTCTTCACACCAGGTTTCCAGTGAGAAGAATAAGTGGTTAACTCCTTTTAAATCTGAGCTCTCGCAGGTTTTAGTTACTATTTTATACTGGCAAGGCCTAAGGCCCAACCAGATCCTCAGGTGTAAGTGCAGCTCGTACCCTCTGCCCGAGTGGGTTCTGGAGCCGAGGTGCGGGAGGGTCGGGGCTCAGGGAAGTCTCCCCCTGGGCGGCACTAGCCGGTCAAAAAAGCGACATTCCCGAGGCCGCCGGAACGGGAACGGGCTTGCAGAGTTAGACCGCTGCCTTTCTCCCCGGGCTGCTAGTTTTTCACTGAAGTGTTGAATGCAAGATGGTGTGTTTGCGAATTAGATCCTGCGCCGCCGAGAACGACTAGGAGAGTTCTGCTTGCCAAATCATAGAGCTCTGACTGCAATTGTGGAAATTCTTAACAGGGTGTTCCAGGAAACAAATAAACAAGCCATCCTGTTCCCCCTCCGCCGCTTCTCCTCCCTTCTGCGAAGGGCCTGAGCCGGCTCTCTGCTCTTCCCCTGAACGCAGAGGCTGCTATTCTTCAAGAGGCGTATACTGATGCTCGCCCTGTGTCAGCGGTGGGAGGAAAGATGACAAGCCTTAAGAGAGAGCTCCTAGCAAAGGGGATTCAGCAGTGGGCAACCCTGGGGTTACTCGCACACCCCCTTGGGCATGCAGAATGGATTTTTAGGAGAAAAAAAATGTAAGTCAAAATTTGCCCACCTGCTTTTCTACCTCCACTTATGCCCCCGAGTGGAACTTGATGTGTTCATTACAGCCTTTGAACGATCTGAGCCCTGAAAGAACTGGAGCGCTACCCAGAGAGCTGGCCCAGCACCCACCAGGCTGAGCTACTGACTTTGGGACAGACTAGGGTGGGCACAAGCAGACACGTGGGAAAGTGCTCTGAGCTTTTAAGGGGCAGTTCCTCCGTGATGAGCACTGTGCTTGCTACTCCAGTTTTTCCTTAGCACCTTTATTCCCCAAGCAGTGCCATTTCTGTTTGGTGGCTGGAAATTTTACCTTAGTCCATTTGTGCTTCCAGTTTGTGGCTGACATCCTGAAGTTGACATCCTCAGCCAAGTGCAGAGTCCCCCTTAGCTCCCAGACCCTCCTTCCCCAGCTTTGTCTGCTCCCCTTGGCCACCCCTCCCCTATCTAGTTCCTTGTCAGTCTGCTCTCTGATCTGTTTTTTCTTTGCTGAAGTCTCTCAGGCTCCAGGCCTCTGGAAGGTTGTAACCCACAGGTCCTTACCATATAAAATCCTTACCATAGCAAATCAAAAGTATGATTACTTTACAACTTTGGCTATAGGAAAACTGAATGACCCTTCACAGTGACTTCCCAAACAGGGTTGGTTGGACTTGATTCTTGGAATGTGGCTCTTGCGACCTTTGCCTTGAGCCAAGGCTCTCTATCCGCCTTGTGAAGAAAAGTTGGGAATTTCTAGGGCCAGGGATTTAACTCAGTGGTTCTGTCGACTGCCTCGCAAGCAGAAAGTCCCGAGTTCAATCCTCGGTACCAAAAAAAAAAGTTGGGAATTTCTAGATAGTGTTGCATAGTGGAGTAGAGGAAGAGTTGAGCAGGAGGTTTTTATAGAAAGGTTGCCATAGACTCAAGATCAGATCGTGTGTAGGGATTTAGGTTGGAATAGTGCTATTGTCAGTTAATTGCATAGTCATCCAGTAAACATCTATTTTTATTTTGTAGCAAATATTCAGCCAGACTCTGTGCTATACAAAAATGATGAATAAGACTCAGGCTTTGCCTTGGAGAAATGCATAGTCTATTGCATAATTTCACTAACTGTGGTTGACAGAACACTTATATATGAACTATTTGTGCCATAGACAATTCTCCACTGGTTATCTGATTTTGTCCTTACAATGATAGTACTGAAGTAGTCAGGATTATCAACATCTCCATTCTACAAGTGAGGAACTGCGGTACAGAAAGATTAGGCAATTTGCTAATGGTCACAGAGCTGGTATGTAGGTTGCTGAACCTGGGTAGAACAAAGATGGTCCCACGCCAGAGCCTACAAACACCTCTCTTGCTCAGCAAGACACCAGGAAACCTCATTTAAACCCAGACTGGTAAAAGACAAAACCAGTTTGTGTCATTGAGAAGCAATTTTAGCTCTAGGAAGAACTATGGAATGTTTGGAGTAGTCTGATGAAAGAATGCTATAGCGGGTAATGAGTCTTCAGGAGGCATTTTCACAGAAAAATGTCAAGCTAGTGTAGAGATGCTACTGCACTGGCCAGAATAGAGGCACTCTAAAGATCATAGGGCCGGGATTTAGCTCAGGGGCACTGTGCCTGCCTCATAAGCATAAGGTCCTAAGTTTGATTCCTGGTACCAAAAAAAAAAGAAAAAAAAAGATTATACCAGCTCTCTTGTGATTCTGGGGTCCTGTGATTCTGGGAATTTGGAGCGTTGTGTTGGTCCAGGTCTGACCGTGAGGAGGCAGGGTAGGTATGGTACAGCTCACTCTGTCCTATTTGCCAGGCCAACTCAAGTGCCCAGGACTGCTTCCTTTCTGTTAAATGTTTGCAGCTGTTTTCCTTCCACTTCTCTTCTTTTCTTTGCTTTCTCCTTGTGATTTACCTCCCCTCCTCCCATCCCCATCCCATCCTCCTTTTCTTGTTATCTTTGCCTTTGTAAGAGTTAAGGGTCAGTAGTTAGGAGTTCTTTGTCTAGTACCTTGAGTCTTTCCTCCTAAGAACAATACTTACATTGGAGGTTTTGTAGAGCATGTGTTTTAATTATCATTCCTTCTCCTTCTAGGGAGAATTAGAATTGGAAAAGTAAACAAAAAGAGAGACCAGCCTCTTTGGAACATTCATCTCAGGTCAATCTAGTCTTTGTCCTCCAGTAACAGCAAAGCTCACTTAGTCACAGTAAGAAAACTAGACCCTTGTTCTTTACACTCAGTTTAATGTGTGTCTTCAGGGAACAAGGTAAAAGAATAGTTGTTGTTTTTTTTTAATTAAAAAAAAAAAAAAGTTGTCCCAAACCTGGGAGCTTTGTTTTCTCTTTAGAGGACTGCTTTTAAAGGTTCCCCTAAAATGCCAAAGCAGGGCCGGGATTTAGCTCAGTGGTTCTGCCACCTGCCTCGCAAGCACAAGGTCTTGAGTTCAATATATGGTACGAAAAAAAGAAGAAAAATAAATATAAATAAAAAGCCAAAGCAAGTCATGGTATAAAACAGGCAGCTCTGCCTTGAACTAATCACTAGGCTGGTGGGGGACACGTGGCTCCATCAAGGGCTTAGGCCCTCATGCTGGGAACAGACCTCCACCTCTGTTAGAAGTGCTATCGTGAGTGTGAGTGTTGTCCGGACTGGAGACCAGAGTTTGGCATACAGTCCCCAAGAACCTTCCCCATTCTTGTACAGTATGGAGCAAGGGACTAGAAGACAGTTTCTAAAAAGTATGGAAATATTTCTCTGTCTTCAAAGGAAACATAAAGAACACTATTTTCTTTTCAAAAATTCAGAAATAAATGCCTTAAGAACTGAAAGAAGAAAATTTCATAGTTTCAAAGTTTCTTTTTTTTTTTTGGTACCAGGGATCAAACTCAGGTCCTTGTGCTTTCGAGGCAGGCAGCTGAACCACAGAGTTACATCCCTGGCCCTCAAAGTTTCTTATTTTGAGACAAGGTCTTGCTATGTAGTTCAAGCTGGCCTTGAACTCACTATGTGGCCTAGGCTGGCCTCCAACTCATGGCGATCCTCCTGCCCCAGCCTCCCAGTGATGGGATTACAGGCCTGTGCTACCATGCTCAGCTCAAAGTTTCTTTAAATAAATAGGAGTCCCTTGCCTCCAAGGAATCCTTAAAACCAGGGATAGTAATAGTGGACAGTTACTGAGAACTTAATATGAGCCAAGGACTTTGCTAAACACTTTATGGGTAATAGCACACGTAGTCCCAACAAAAGCCTTCAGAGAGAGGAACTGTTCTTATCACCTCCACTTTTCAAAGTGAGAAAGCTCAGGCACAGAAAAGCTTAATAAATTGCTCCAGGCCACATAGCTAACCCAGAGTAGGAAGGCTGTACCAAGCAGGATTCTTTCAGAGGCTTCCATTCAACTATTCTGGGACGCTCCTTCTCCTATCCACTCACCCAAATGGTGTGCTTAATGAGCAGCTAGCTCCCAAAGAGTGCCAGGCCCTATTTCGGGGCTTTGCTTATGTTAATCCACTTGGACCTTCTAACAACCCTATGATGTAGAATAACATTATTCTCCCCATTTTGTACATGAAGAAGCCGAGGCAGAGAGGTCAGTAAATTTGCCCAAGTTCACATAGCCAGTAAGA